AAAAGAAATGGTTGGAAACCATTTGCGGAAAGTAAATTTACAAGTTACAACCTCCCATTATTACAAAAACTATTAGCTATGTAACCTTATAGCCTCTTATTATGAAGTAAGTACAGAAATAGGCTCAATATACGTTTACTAGAAAGATTAGACAGACATAGGAGGAAAAATTAACTGGTAAAAAAATATCTAGTTTGCTCTAAAATGAATTTAATAATAATTAATTTATAGAAGGAGGTAGTATACATGTGTCATTTTGACCAGAGAGAGATGACAAATTAAGAGATCCTCATTTAATCGGGTTTGCCTAAAAAATTAAATGTTTTAGTAGTATAATCGACATTTTTCTTTATCTCTATTTACTGATTAATTGAACAATGAGTTACTTAATGCAGATGTGGCGTAGCAGTTTCCCAAAAGGCATGCCTATAAACTCAAATTTGCGCCAAAATAGCACTTGTCCATCAGGAACGGCTCTTATTCGCAGAACTACCAAGAATGACTTAATATATGGCAAAACTCTTCAAAATCATGTGAAAAGTCACGGCACAAATTTCAAAAGTAGTATTAATGACGGAAGCCATGTGAGTAACCCTCTTTCACTTTGCAATTTTAGCTATAGTTTACCAACTTTCATGTTAATCAAAATCATATGAAAATGAATTACATTAACCTTTTCTGTTCATTCAAGCACTCTTCTAAGATATCGAAAGGCTGCGAACAGTCTCATAATTGTATTTTGCTTGGTATTACGACAATATCCCTGCACTGACAATATTTTAATATTATGGTTTTGACAACGATTTTTTTAGCTTTCTCTTTAAAGTCGACTATAAATATATAATATAATGCTATTATAGAACCAAATGAAGAAGATAAAGTAAGTACATATATACACACACAGAACTGATAGTCGAAAAACATAATGAAAAAAAGGAAAATAACTAAGAAAATAACATTGCATGTTGATACACAGTAAGATGGAAAATCCTATCTAAGATGTAACAATCTAGAGGATTTTTTTTTTCCGTGAGTAATTTTCATAGATGGAGCATTCTAGACGGATTTCTCAACATGCGCAACTTGAAGACATACATTCTTTGTAGACGTATTTTCTATCTATTGTGCTGTTTTCTCCTACTTATGAGAGGACAATGCTCGTTTTAAGTATCTAACAGGTTCGTAATTATCTACCTAAATACAAACAGCAACAACGCTTTATCGTGTTATACAACTAAAAGTTCTTTCAGAACAGTGAATTAAAAACAACGTACTTGAAGCATCACCATGTTATACAAATTAAACAACACTAAATAAATGAAAAAAATATTGCATGGTGGAACATTTATTTAATAGAGAGTCAAAGTCAAACAAAGCAATCAAATAGAGAATGCTTTGAAAATAGATCAGAAGACATGGGAAACAGAGGAGACATAGTGTTTTGGTCAATAAGTTTATACTTTCCACTAAAAATTAACAAGAAGTTACATATAGTTCACCCAGACATACCTAGAATTAGGTTGCTAAATTTTGTGTTCACATCCGAGGAAATATTTGTAACCGTATCCAGTTAGGATATGGATGTGGTTCTTCAAATCTATAACCGACAAGATATATGGTTACAGATATAGTTCTCTAATGAAATATCTGGATCCGTATCTTAAAAATCCGAATACATATTGGTCATACAATTGCCACCTTTTAATCCTTAGATTAGTAGATTTGAGATTAATTTTGATGATCAAGATGTCTAACATTTTCTTCTTAGATATAACAAACATATTAATAAACCCTTTTTGTATCACATGAACTATATATGTTTTTTCAATATTATATAGGTTTCTCATATACGTTTTGTACCTTCATGCATATCCGCTTATATATATGCATGTATATCCGTATCCGTATTTGTTTTTTGCAGATATGGATATAAATTTTTCTTACCAAGCTATATACGTATTCGTATTCATATCCGTGATGGGTAAGCAGATATGGATATAATAAGTATCATATTCGAGCCATCTCCTGAACAAATGCACTCCTACCTAGAATGCACCAGACATCTCTCAACATAAACCCTTGATGAACTTAGAATCTACGCACCTAGATTCACAAAATTTGCCTCCAACTCTCAAAACCGAGCCTGATGTATGAACTCAAGCTATCACAAGCGAACACCACAAGCCCGAAAAATACATATTGAGCAATCTAGCCCAAGCAAAACTCTTATCTATACTCTATCGACGAGGATGTATAAGTAATCTGCCAGACATTAATTGTCGTACGCAACAAAAATTTCGGCAGCATCTCCGGTGGGGCAAGGTGGACAACAAGAGATTAGATCACAACGAAATTTCTGTTCCACAAAGGAAACAAGAACCGAAAGCAAAATATCTTAACAAAGTGAGATATCAGCTCTTCCTCTCATCAGTTCTAGGACTGACTTGTCAAGGGAACCTACAAGCTATTATAAATCACAGCAAGACAAACTATTTTACGTGGTTCGGCAAGTTGCCTACGTCCACGGGGTAAGAAGGGGGGAGATCTACTATTAGAGGAAGAGAATACAACTAAGGTTTATAATCTCACAACATAAACCCTCAAATAATCTCTCAAATCCCTCTCAATCTCTCTCTCAAAAAGGACAGCCGTCAACTCCCAAGAACAGCCACCAAGAAACCCAAAGAATAGCATGACTTCTTCTGTGTTCTTTTGTTTGCACGTCGCCTTGCCTTTGAGTTTCCCTTGCTTGCATGCTGCCTTGCACACGAATCAGCCGCTCGCTGCTTCAAAAGATCTAATCAGCCGCCGCTTTAGAAACCCTGCCCTTACAAAAAATATATAGATAGCTTTGATATATATATAGGAGAGCTGCGGATACGTTTGGGTGGGCCGCACTTCATTTTTCACTTTGCTCCGCATTTATTAAACGTGGTGGCCCCCACGTTTACATTAATAACCATAAATTATGAGATGTTGCTTGACTCGTCAGTCTTACGGTTTATGGTATATATTTCTATCAGTTCTGGTTCGTATCGGTATTGCACATGTTAACTATTATCAATTTCTTTAAAATGAATTAATTAGTTGTTAAACAGTATGCAGTAATGAAAACTGATGTTGGCGAATATTATGGAGCAAGTGCAAAGCTTATTGTTTATGGCTTCCCAAATGTTAAACTTGATCAAATCACCATAAGCCAAATATGGGTCATAGGAGGGGCTGATGGACCTGAAGATAAAATAAACACTGTACAAGCAGGATGGCATGTCCGTAAGATTACTGTTCTGATTTGTTTAAAAAGTTGTCAATTTTTTCAAAAACAGATTAGTGCTTTGCATTTCCACTATATATTTTGTGCTAAACATATTTATAACATTTCAGGTATATCCCGGTATAAATTAATGGTGACTCTGTAACCCATCTATCTATGTTTTGGACGGTATAGTCTAAGAACCACGTCTTAAATTTAGATGAGAGTTTGTTCCTTATCACAAAAAATATGTACTCAATTGAGATTTACAGAATTTGATTAATAATTTGTGCAGGCTGATGGATATAAAACAGGTTGCTTCAACTTCAACTGTCCGGGATTTGTTGCACTGTCTCCAGACTTTGGTCCTGGAAGTGAAATAACAGAGCTTTCTGTCTACGGTGGGATACAAAAATCAATTGAAATAAGTATCTTCAAGGTATATTAACTTTGTTCTGGGAAATTTATGTCTGCCGTCTAGCTTTCTTTATATCTTACGTGCACGTTTAGCGTTAGGGAAGGGATATTTCTATAAATTTAAGACTAACATAGAGTTTGCATACCCATACTTAGTTTTCCATAGAATACTTACTAGGACATACATCTCCTTAAAATTCTTAGATTGTGCTATTTTTGTTTGCTTTTCAACTTCGTGGTAATAACGTGAGGGTCAAAGTAAAACATTTGTCAAGAACATTGTCACAAGATTCGAATTCTAATTTGATAATGGATGAAACACAACAGCATCACCGGAATAATTTATGTGTAAAAAAAAGAATATTAAGAGTTGTTATTAGCTATACCAATCTATAATGCATGAGGTTTTTCTATAAGTAACCGCTATTTTCTTCTAACTGTAGGATCAAAAAACTGGAAATTGGTGGTTAACATACGAAAGATCTTACGTGGGATATTGGCCAAAGGAGCTTTTCAATAATTTAGAGAAAGCTGCTGAGGTTGATTATGGTGGTGCGGTTTACTCTCCCTTCAATGAGCCTAGTCCTCCGATGGGGAGTGGTCATCTAGCTATTCCTACTGAAGGTCCAAACAAGACATGTTATTGAGCCTAGTCCTCCGATGGGGAGTGGTCATCTAGCTATTCCTACTGAAGGTCCAAACAAGACATGTTATTTTCTGAATGTTCAGTTAGTAAACGAAAAATCTAGCTATTCCTACTGAAGGTCCAAACAAGACATGTTATTTTCTGAATGTTCAGTTAGTAAACGAAAAAAATGAGCTCTATGATCCAACATATTACAAAGTCCACCTAGATGCTGATATTACAGAATATTATAATATTGATAACAATTATGAATCCGGACCCCCAGACGGTTACCAATTCCGTTATGGTGGTCCTGGAGGTTACACTCGTTGAAGATTTGTCTTGTTGCTACTTAAATAAAATATTTTCTTATGGTAGCATTAGATTTATTTTATTGATGATGGATTTATGGTTAAGCCTATGGACAAAACTTTTCCTTGGGGAATTTAGAAACTTCCATGCTAAGGAAGATCCGTACCGTGGCGGGCTTCTGATGGTGTAGTTTAGCAGGCGATTTTCGCTGCTATCGTACGCCACCGCCTAGTTCACGAATGAAGAAGAAGAAGAGAAATAGCAAAGGCGCCATTGATAATGAGCTTCAAGATTCCCTTTTTAAGTATGTTCCTGCATCCAAATCTAGAGATGAATCAAGAGCTATGGAGTTTTCTTTGAAATCCGCTGAAATGGAGAGCACGGGTCCAAAAGGAGCTAAAAAGAAAATTCCGATCCAGGAAATTCTTGCTAGATCAAATTCGAGCTTGGATCAATCTCATCTGGATCTGATTGGATCTAAGATTCCTCGTCAATTGAGTAAATCTCCTGTTTCTTGGGCGGAAGAAATTGAAGATGAGGATGAATCTGAGTCTGAATTGAATCATTCTGGATCTAGAGAAGATGAAACCTCAATTCCTGAAGATAACACTAATGAGCCCCCAATTCTGGTCAATGCTTCTTCTGAGGATGATAAGATTGAAGCAGAAGCTGTAGCTCAAGGTGATGCTGGATTCAAGAACGCTCAGGATTCCAAGAAAACATTTGCTAGCCTCTTTGCAGATAATAGGAAGTCTGGTAATGGTTTATCCTTAAACTTTGTTAAATCTATTAAATCCAACTCTGTTACATTCTCTGCTGATGAATGGAAAGAGGGAGAAGGCTATTGGAAGCATGCTTTAGTTGGATATGTCATTGGCCTAAATGTGAAGTTTAAATCTATGGAATCTTATGTTAATAAGATTTGGGGAAAAATTTCCATTCCAAAAATTTCCTTAATCAAGCAGGGGATGTTCCTATTTGACTTCCAATCAGGAAAACAGATGCAGGAAGTTCTAGATGCAGGTCCTTGGTTCTTTGGAGCTAGACCAATGGTTCTTAAACCTTGGACGATTGATATAGATATGGATAAATTTCAGACCTATAGTTATCCAATGTGGATTCAGTTCCCTAATCTACGTCTTAATCTGTGGACATCAACTGGTTTAAGTAAGATTGCCAGTGTGATTGGTAAGCCTATTGCTTCTGACAAACTCACAGCTGATAGACAAAGGTTGAGTTATGCAAGGGTTCTCTTAGAAGTTGATTTGCCCCTTAAAGAAAGCTTACATGATTATATTGAAGTTCAGGGACCTGATGGTATTAAATACAATCAAAAAGTTGTATATGAACTCAAGCCTCGATGGTGCTCTTTGTGTAATATTGTAGGCCATGAAACTGAGTTTTGCAGGAAAAGGACATCAAAAATGAAATGGATGCCTGTTAATAGGCCCCAAAATCCTGTGCAGGTTCAGAAAGAAGATGTGCACTGCCATACTTCTATACAGGATGGGAATATTGAAAATTTAGCAGCCAGTAAAACTCAGACTGGGAATCTTCAACAAGAACAACTAAATAAAGATGCTAATATTGACCATTCTGGGCAAAACCATGATATACAAAAGAGCAGGAACAACAAATCTGGATCCCACATTGGTCTTGGGAGTGTCTGTATAGAGCAATCCATTGCTAGTTCCAGGAAATATTCTGTCCTGAATTCTAAAGGGAAGCAAGTAATCAATAGTAGTTCTCCTACCATCAATGCATCTGGTTTCACTAATGTGAACAGCCCTATTCCAATGAGAAGTTTTGGTAAAAACATTGGAGTTTCCTGCATCCAAGCATCACAATTTTCTATTCTGGATCAACAAACTGGCTTGGATCCCTGTTGTATTGATAGGGGAGGATCTCAATAATGAATTTGGCTATTTGGAACATTAGAGGATTTAATAAATCCTCTAAGCATTTGATAGTAAAGAATTTTATTCATGAATACAATCTTTCATTCTTAGCTCTCTTAGAAACTAAAGTTGATGGGAGGAAAATGCAGGCCATTGCAAAAAAAGTTACTAAAGACTGGAATTGGATTTCAAATTCATCTGAAGCAAATAATGGTAGAATATGGTTATTTTGGAACAGTGACATTCTTACAGTTCAGACTATTTCTTCTTCCAATCAGCAAATGACTTGCTTCCTTGAGTCTAAGGATGGTAAGCTGTCTTGTACCATCACAGTGGTATATGCATCAAATCAAATGGATGAGAGGAATCTTCTATGGCAAGATATTTGAAGAATGCCGGCGCTACGTACCAACGAGCGATGACGAAAATCTTTCAAGAGCACCTCCGAAAAACTATCGAATGCTACGTTGATGACCTGGTCGTTAAGAGTCGCGATAAAAATGACCACATTAACGATCTGAAGATGATGTTCGAGCTTATGAGAACTCATCAGCTGAAAATGAATCCGACTAAATCCTTCCTTGGAATGTCGAGCCATCACAGTGGTATATGCATCAAATCAAATGGATGAGAGGAATCTTCTATGGCAAGATATGCTGGCTTTTAATCAAAATGGCCCTTGGTTGGTTGGGGGGATTTTAATACTATACTAAATAGTGAAGAGAAGCTAGGAGGTGCTCAAGTAACTGAAGCAGATACAACTGATTTCCAGAATTTCATCAATCTTAGTCACTTGGCTCACCTTAAGGCAACAGGCTGTTTCTATACTTGGAGTAACAAACAGGAAGCAGAAACAAGAATATGGTCTAGACTGGACAGAATTTTGGTGAATGAAGACTGGATACAAAAATACACTTCTAGTCAGGTTGATTTCCTAATGCCTAGCTGTTCTGATCACTCTCCTGCTCTAATATCAATATGTGAGGATAATTTTGAAGGTAAAAGGCCTTTTAGATTCTTCAACATGTGGACTAAACACCCTGACTTCATTCCAGCTGTTAAATCTGTTTGGGAACAAGATATAAGAGGATACTGTATGTACAGATTTCATAAGAAGCTCAAAGATCTGAAGCCTATCTTGAAAGAACTAAATAGAAAGCACTTTATGAATATTAGTGAGCAGGTAAAGAAAAGATCTGAAGCCTATCTTGAAAGAACTAAATAGAAAGCACTTTATGAATATTAGTGAGCAGGTAAAGAGAGCTAAGGATGAACTAGCTGATAGAACTAAATAGAAAGCACTTTATGAATATTAGTGAGCAGGTAAAGAGAGCTAAGGATGAACTAGCTGACATCCAGAAACAGATAAGTGATGATCTCCTCAATCAAAGGCTGATCCTGAAGGAGAAGGAGTGTATCTCAAAATATACCAGACTGCTTAACTGTGAGAACTCTTTTTATAAGCAAAAAGCAAATATAAATTGGAGTTTGCAGGGAGACAAATGTACCCAATTCTTTCATTCAATTATGAAAAACAAAAGGCACTGCAACAGGGTTTTATCAATATACACAGAGGGGGGTCTTAGAATCACTGACACTTCTGACATTTCTGAGGAATTTATTGCTTACTACAAGAAGCTGCTGGGTACTTCTACAAATGTCTCAGAGCCTGACATGAATGTAATTGCTAATGGTCCAGTTCTCACTCCAATTCAAAAGGCCAACCTGATCCTTCCTGTCAGTAGAGATGAAATCAAACAAGCTGTATTCTCAATGTCTGAAACCAAAGCACCTGGTCCAGATGGATTTAATGCAGCTTTCTTTAAATCAGCCTGGGATATCATTAAGGAAGATTTATATCTTGCTGTGGAGGAATTCTTCAACTCAGGGAAGCTTCTTGGCACTTTTAATTCAACTTCTATAACTTTGATCCCAAAAATTCTGAATCCTAAAAGTGCATCTGATTTCCGTCCCATCTCTTGCTGCAATCTAGTTTATAAAATTATTGCAAAAGTTATAGCTGGAAGATTACAGAATATCATGGGTTATCTGATAAGTGACGCTCAAAGCGCATTTGTTAAAGGCAGACTCATTACCAACAATATTCTCCTAGCCCATGAATTAGTTAAGCATTATGGAAGGAAACATATCTCTCCCAGAGCAATCCTAAATGTAGACCTGAGAAAAGCTTTTGATTCTATTGATTGGAGTTTTATCCGATCAATGTTGGAGGGGTTGGGGTTTCCTAGTACTATGTTAAATTGGATTATGGAATGTATTTCTTCCCCAAAATACTCACTGTCTCTAAATGGCTCATTGCATGGCTATTTCAAAGGGGAGAGAGGACTTAGACAAGGAGATCCTCTGTCTCCTTACTTATTTGTTATAGGGATGGAATACCTCTCTAGGAAGCTGAGTACTCTCAAAAATGATAAATCATTCAAGTTTCATCCTAAATGTGGTCGATTGGGGATTACTCACTTATCCTTTGCAGATGATCTTCTCCTCCTTGCAAGAGCTGATATCCATTCTATAATGAAACTACACATCTGTCTTATGGAAAAAGAGGAGATTTCTCTCGTATGCAGGGAGATTGCAATTAATAAAATCTGTCATTTTGGGTGTTCAAACATTCTGGACAAGTAATTTTATCTTGCCTATGAAAGTACTTGAAAAAATAGACAGTCTATGTTCATCCTTCCTATGGAACAACAATATTCATCAGGTTTCCTGGTCTGATGTTTGCAAAAGCAAAAAAACAGGGAGGCTTGGGGCTCTTCTCAGCAAGGGACTGGAACTATTCTGCTGCACT